GTTGGAAGATTTACCGAATTGGGGGCATTTCGCCCAATTACCACTTCGCCCGAACGGTTCCGCCCGATTACCTGTTCGCCCGATTACCATTTCGCCCGATTGCCATTTCGCCCGATTACCAGTTCGCCTGATTCCTCGTATTTTTGGTATTTACGTGTAGTCAAAACAAGATAACGTAGAAGTCGAAATTTCAAAGTATGGTCGAAATTTAAAATAAATTAGCGTAAATTGGGCCCTAATACTATATTAATTATATACAATGTTGTGTTTCTATTTCAATTTAAAAGTATGGTCGAAATTTAAAATAAATTAGCGTGAATCGACTGTAAAATCTGACCATTGTATTCATAACTATTCATTTCAGTATGCCATTTCCGATCAACGCGAACACACAGAGGTTGTTCACGAGAAAAGAAATGACAGCGAGACTCTGTGCTACTTCCTACTTGTTCTGCAATTTGCGCTTTCTGAATTAGCTTTGGTATTGTCGTATAACCGTAGAACTATCATGTGTGTCTTCATAGTTACTGTACTTGTAATCGGTACGAATTATCCCGCGATTAATTAGAACCCTCTTACCATTAACATTCGGAATAACCGGCATCACATTAAACCCTTGTACTATGGTGCGCCCTCTTTTCGGGTTCACGGTTGAGGCCACTCCCATTTGTGTTGTCATCCAAGGTGGAAATTTTAAAACACGGTGATCCCCGAGCAGCGCTTATTCCAATTTCAATTAAACAATAGTGGCGCGGCGGCACGCCCGGGGGTCTCCCCGTCAAAACAAATGTTTGGGGGCGTCGTCCCTCCAACTTGAAAAACAAGCTGAAACCCTTTGTGTCAGCAAAAAATGCTCCTCAAAATGCAGGGAATAGCGTTTCAGAGGGTCTAGATTTCAACATTTTTAAGTGGGAGCATGCCCCCGAACCCCCTTGTAAGGTCGCGACTTCGGTGCAAGGTTGGTTATTCAGATACCCCCCTCCCATGATGAAAAATTTCGTGCCGCCGCCTCTGAACAAACAATGTATTTTACACACGGTGCGACGACAACCACGGGCCTTTAACTCGGGATACACCGGTAGGTGGTATCGGTGACCAGTTGTCCCGGCAACTTGACTTCCAAAAGTGAAACGCCCACTTACAGAGAGCAAAGGATTCTGGGAAACAAAATGGTGACGTTCAAGACAAGAGAGTGCTTTCTTTTGGTTTCTTTAAGACGTGGTATCGACATGAACCGTTGCGTTGAAAATCACAAGATTCTGTGATTTATTTCCACAGGTAAGAACAGATCTAATCCGGAAACTTAGTTACCTTAATTTTGAGTTACCTATGTTATTTCAACGACAGATAATGAACAACTTGTTGCCAGGAGATATGTCAACAGTTCGTCTGGGCACCGTTCCTCAAGTGTTGAGGGACGGTGGTCTGGGTCTATTTTTTGAACACTGATCGTTTTCTTAAAAAAGACTATCTGCTGGCCACTGTGAGGGGCGTTAGACGTCACAATTTAGTGTCAATTGTATGTATATGTGAAAAAAAACTTGTCCAAAGGTTTAAAAACGAAAGTAAAGTCCAGTGCAGTACTTAGTGGTGTATTGTATCGTTTGATTGTTACGCGGTTCATTCAATTTAGGGACGGACCATTAGAAACGCTGCGGCGAGGGATGGCAGAAACTCTACTAGTATGCAGAATATTTTTTCCCTGAAGAATCAAGCATGCAGAATTGTCCATGATTTTTTTTCTGTGCATTTCGTTTTTTTTAAATTCTGCCATTGCCCCTCAAAGTTTCTGATGGTCCATCCCTTAATCATGCATCAATTAATCAATTAATACATACATGTACATGTAATACATGACATGTAATAGACAAGTCAGGATTTCCTGCTAAGTATTGACTTTAATTTAATTTATCCGTTTTCTCATCCAAACTAGATCCAGGCATCATAAAATAGAACAAAATAAAATCTGGTTCCATTAATTTTTCTAAAAAGTACAAGGTTAAATATACAAATATATGTAAACAGTTGAATCACTACCTTAATCTGTTTTACCATACAAATTATTAATATTTATTATACGTGTCACTAACATAGGAATAAATCACAGCCTGCAAAGCCAATAAACACACTAGGTAAACATTCAGTGCACAAGAATAACATGTGGTTACTTTGCCAAGTCATGATAAATTGCTAAAATGTACTTATTTTAGCTAAAAATATTAAAGTTCAAAGTTCAAAAAACAGGGTCTGGATTTCACACTCTGTGCATACATGTACAAAATGTATGTTCATAGGTTTGTTCTGTACTTGTATCCCAGACGTGTTTGGACCAACCCTATTCAAAGTTCACACATGTACATGTACATACATTTACCGTAGACAATTGTCCAGTTCTTTTTTTGTTATTGGATATTTCAAGGACATACGTTAAAACACAATAAATGACTGGATGATGCCTGCATAATGTGCTCATACATGTAAAAAATAGGGCATCTACTATTGATGTCAATTCATACCCAGTCTCACTTCCACAGTAGTGGCTACTTGCAATGACAAAATTAGCAGTTAGTGATTTTGATTCCACAATAAATGTCAATTGCTAAGGGAGGCAGTATGACAATGGT